ATTTTAAAAAATGTTTTGACTAAAATTGTTGCAATTTTAAGTAGTTTTAAAACATACTAGATGATTTTTTCCTTTCTTGACATAGTAATTACCCTACTTCGAAATTAGACGTAAAATTTAATCATTTACACAATTTTCGTTTTAATCTAACAATAATTTATTTGTAAGACGACCATTTTATAACTGTTTTCTTGGTTTCAAAAGTTCAAAAATTTATTATTGTTTGTAATACTTTTAAAATTAATATTCACATTTTTGTAATACACATATATGATGTCGAAAATTTTAAATTTGATAGTTTTAATAAGACTGATTAATTTATTGGCAAATTTATTGCTAACAGGCATGAGAAATCAATTAAAATTTTACTTTCATTAAAAATATCTTCCCTAAATAAATTCCTAGCTACAATATTTTACAGTAAATACTTACTTATTTGCTGGTCTTGATGGATGAAAATAACACCACTCACAAAAGAAACACAAATTACCAGATTTAACCAAGTTTGCAACTATAATCAATGCCTTTTTAATAGAATAGAATAATCTTAAGTAATTACTGCAATTAAGTGAAAGATAACAAAATAGATCTATAAAATCTGATATTTGAATTTCGTAAATAGTTATTCTTTACTTTTTGCAAAAGTTAACGTTTTAATAGAAAATAAATTTTACCTATTCAATTAAGATCGAGCAGTGTTGAATAATAGTTTATTGCTTACGTAAAACATATGAATAAATGAAAAAAAAATGTGAAGCACATTTTTTCGCAAAATTTTAGTAAATCAATTTGTTAATGTCTGTAATGTAATCACACAAAAAAAAACTAATAGTAGCAAACCGTCGCAAAAGTAAAGTATTCCACTTAGTTAAGGATAAGGTAGGGTATATCAAAATGTTACGAGACAAGTAAAAATTTGGAAGAACGTTCCTCATTCAATTCTAAAACTCCTGTAAAAATTACAAATCGATTCACTAAACCGTTAAAAAGTTATTGAAATTTTAAAAAATTTTAATTTTACACGTCATTTTATGGAGATTCGTTAACCGAACAGATTAAATTTATTTTTATTAACAGAAAAAAAGCTACCAGAAATTTAAAAATTTTATAATAAGTAACTTGAACTCTGGAGAATCACTTTAGCGTAAGGTTATTCANATAATGAGACATCAAAAAAGAACAATTAAGACAACAACAAACAACAATTAGTAGCATCAGTGTATCAAGTTCAGGGTCTTCAATATATGTACATACATTTGTAGTAATAACTGTATATTTGTAAATAAATTTTCTAAGTGCAGTTATTCGTGTTATTCACAAGTGAGGTAAATTATTTGCACTTACAATCCTTCCAAAAAATTCGTGTGCTCCCTCATAGGAGAAAGAAGTGGCGCGGCAGCGCAAAATAAACAAAACACCGTATACTTTATTTTAGTATAGATAGTATTTATTTACCTCATGATATGTACCCTTGTCTCCGAAGATCCTTAATAATACGCCACGATTAAAAGTTTACATCCTTATAGGATTGACATATACGTACGTATGAAATCCGTTAAACTTTTCTATTTTATGGCTTTTTATAAATTTTAACGCATCTTTTATCAAAACATGATAAACAATTATACTTGTGAATGTTCAATCGTTTAATTTAAAAACTAATATAACTATGGCTATTCTGAATAATATTTTTTGATAAATTAACTTCCACGAAACCTTTACTATGCTAAAGATAAGGTACTCGACCTGATTTTTTTTTACGATTAAGAAAAGAAAGGCTTCTCGTTTTATGAAGTGTAGATCGCCATGAAATTTAAACCTTATTGACAGATACATAATTAGATATATCAAAATAAAAATTTCAACTTATCTTTTTTATGTTGCAAAATTATCCAATTTGTAACAATGTCCTCCAATTCCAATCGTTTTCTTATCAATGCATTTGATAAATGCTTAGTTGACTATATTTTCCCGAAAAATAGATAGAAGAAAACCGTAAATTTAATTGTATTTATTTTCTTGTGTTGTTAATAAAATCAAAATGACCACAATATTTTGAATTTCGTTGATTTCTTAGTAATGATACTTTCAATTGGAATTTATGATTAGCATGAGACGTCGATAAGATTACAGACATTCTGCCTTTTGCCCAAAGTTTTATCAGTTTTTCCCAATTATCATGCATTATAAGAATAGTTAATGTATTTATTAAAATTTTACAATCAAAATTTCACCCACTTCCACTAAAGCTATCGAGCTGAAATTCGGCAGACACTTTTGATTCACGTGACAATGCACAATTACTTTGATCCAATATGGCGGACGCCACAAAATGACGGTTTATAATTTTCATTAGTAACCCCTGTTATATGGGTATCAAATGAAAGGGCTTTTGATAAAAGAAACACAATAAGCAATTCAAAATTTCCTTAACTGGTTTACATAAGTATATGTATTTGGGTCACGAATATCAGAACATTACTGATTAAAATTCGTTTTAATTAAATTTTCTATAATAGCGCGAAGGTATTATAGTTAAAATGTTGGGAGAAAAAGAAAGTAAGGACCTACCCCTTGAAAAAAATTGATGCTGGCGATGTTGCTCTTCATCTTTATTGATGTCCTTTTTTTTCCGTTTTCTCTTAAGGTCCCTGAAAGAAACAAAAAAAACATTTACAACATGCAATAACAGAAAAATGAAAAAATGAAATTTTTATTATTTATCTATTTTTGTGTTAGTTTAGTTAAGGACAAGCGTGTACTTACCATGTAAACTTCTAGTATTCACGGTTAAAATTTCTTCGGTAGTCGAAAACACCATCTGTAGGAAGAGTCCTGAAAAAAATAAAATAACTACTAAAAAAAGGATTTATAAATAAAAAACAATATACTAAACAAAAAGGAAAATTAAATGTAAGAAAGTTAAAAAAAAACGTTAATTTATGGAATGTAGAATCTGTATAAAATGAACTAATACTAAAATAAGCAATATAAATACAAGAAATCGCAAAGGTTTTGAACCAAAAGTTTTTACCATCAATCGCTGGATCATAAAGACATTGTCCTGCTTTGTAAAAAAAATACATTCAACCTAAACGCCAATTTTTCACAATAAATCATTTTTATTTTATTCTTAAATCTACCTAATTCAACATTTTATTTAAATTAAGAATTATTACTTTGTGACTGTGCTTTTAGCAATTAATTTTTTGAAATAGGTAGTTCTCACGGCTGCCAAAATTATCATAAACGACATCTGATTTTTTAGGCAACAGAAACGCTCCTAAAACAAAATTAGGGATTTTCACCCCTTGTCTAACACTTGTAAAACACTAAAAAAAGCAAAACAAAAAGTAAAAAACTATCCCGGAAGGTGGAATAGTCGTGAGAACGAACCGATGAGTCCTTTTACGCCACTGCTACCATATTGACACCGCCGTATGGGGTAAGATCTCGAACATGCATAAAAATAAGATCACCCCGTAAAAAAAAAGGGTTTTCGAGGACCGAAAGGGGAACGGAGATTTCGTTTAATTAATATCGCATTGGGGGAGTTTTTTTGACGTCCGTCTGTGGCGTATGTTTCCTTGAAAGGGTTGAACGACAATACGTTCACCTAGACGCGGAAATGTCGTCGATGCTTATGTGCGGAAGTAGAAGCTTCAAACAACTTGACACTTCGCTCCTGCGGTTATTAAAAGAATTAAAACCGTAACTTTCGTAGGTACATGCAAGCCGCACAAAAAATTGAGTGACAATTTTAGTATTGAAAATACTACTAGGACCGTATACTTTTGTAGGATAAGTATATAAAAAATAAAATCGTCTATTGAAAAAGCTGACGATCAATGAGAGTCGACGATCGAAGGTCGAAAGTTGTAAAAATGATTAATGTAAGTCTTAATAGTCGAGTACCAGAATTGATATTGTGTTAGTATATACAGTGTAAACTCTATATAGCGACACTTAAGGGACTGAACGTTTTTCGACGTTATAAAGAGTGGTCGTTAAATGGAGAGAAATAAAAGATAATAGTTTACTATTCTATAATGATATGCATTTACTAATATAGTACACATTTTGCACACGAACATTATTATTCATACATTGCGTATAGCCTGTTGTCTTCGTCTGATGTTTTTTGCTGCTCCAATATTTTAATTGTATTTTGTTACGTATCTTACTCATATCTTGAGATACTGCTGGATCAATTTGATTATATAAAAAGTATTTTTTTAATAGTTTCGCTGCATCAAGTGCTTGTTTGATGCTTGGTGGAGGGACAGGATCGTCTTCTTCAACAACGTACACAGCTGCAGTTCTTATCTATTTCGGCAACTTAG